TGGAAAATGCTCTTTTATAATGGTTGTACTGGTGTTTGGAAAAAAAGAATTTCATCTTTGTCCTCAGCAGAGTATATATAATTTTGACTCATCTAAAAATTGTCTCAGGTTTGTCTTTGCAAATAGTCTCCTGCCTTTGTATACAGGTGTGAGTCCCACGTGTCACACTGGGAGCGCTCCCGCTCTGTGGAGAGGCGTGAGCCCACGTGTCACACTGGGAACGCTCCCGCTCTGTGGAGAGCTGTGAGCCCACGTGTCACACCAGGAGTGCTCCCGCTCTGTGGAGAGCTGTGAGCCCACATGTCACACTGGGAACACTCCCACTCTGTGGAGAGCTGTGTGTCCATGTATCACACTGGGGACGCTCCCACTCTGTGGAGAGCTGTGTGCCCACGTGTCACACTGGGAGCACTCCAACTCTGTGGAGAGCTGTGCGCCCACGTGTCACACTGGGAGCGCTCCTGCCGCTGCCCTGTGTTCCGCTATCACAGAACTGACCTTCTGGCCTCTGCCCCTGGTGTTGCAGGTCATGACAAAGGACGGGCAGTGGTTTGCTGATTGGAACGAGGTCCCACACAACAGACACACCCAGATCCGACCCACCATGTTTCCGCCAGAGGACCCAGAGAAGTTGCAGGCCTTGAACCTACAGCGGTGGTAAGCTTGGGGGTGGAGAGCGGGGTTTTCTGCTGGAGGATATCACTGAGTTGGGTGACTTAGACTCGGGGTAGGGCATTGTTCTGAGGCCTGGGGGCTGACCCCTGGGGTCATGAACCTACAGGCGAGTAAGCTCTTCTGGGTCCCTGTGAGCTACTGATGGCCAGCACTTTCAAGATGTGTAATCTGTTAGAGCTTGGATAGAGGTACTGTGGGCGTTATATTAGCTTAAAGATTACATGTGCTATTTATGAGTGAAGGTCGTATGAATTTGTACAGTGAGACATGATTTAGCCCTGGTGGCACAGTGGTTAAGAGCTTGGCTGCTAACCAAAAGGTTGGCAGTTCGAATCCACCAAATGCTCCTTAGAAACCCTATGGGGCAGTTCTCCTCTGTCCTGTAGGGTCGCTAGGAGTTGGAATTGACTTGACAGCAACGAGTTTGGGTTTTTTGGGTTTTTTTTTTTTTTAATCTCAGGTAGTCTTTGTCGTATTTGTCCTAATACTAAAAGAACACACCTTGGATTAGTTGAAAAGCGAACTTCCCTTATATTTTTAGCCTTAGGATCTTACCACATCATCAGAATACTGGAGGGTTCTTCGTGGCTGTGTTAGTCAAGAACTCTCCAATGCCGTGGAACAAACGCCAACCAAAGGTACACGTCTTCTTCCCACTAACATCCTGTGACCCTTGAGCTTTTTGTAAACTTAGAGCTGGGGGAAGACTGACTGGGGGAAGGTGTTCAGAGATAGAGGGAAGGTGGGGGTCCTGGGGGAATGTGTTCAGAGGTAAAGGGAAGGTGGCGGGGGGCCTGGGGGAAAGTGTTCAGAGGTGAAGGAGGGTTTGTGGTGGGAGCCTGAGGGTCTATGTGGGTGGAAAACCCTGCACTTGGAAATGAGGATCAGCCGTGGCTCCTCAGCCTCTGGAGAAGCTGAAAGGAAGCAGTTTCTCCGAGACCCCCCCCAGTTCTCTGTGGTGATGCTCGTGCGGATCAGCGTTTGAGTTTCCAGTCTCAGAGTTGTACAGGCGGGGCCTTAAACAGTTTTGCATTAGGTTAAGAAGTGTTTCTCTGAGTCTGGAGGTGTATGGT